CTCATAATTTCCCTTTCGGTACGCCAGCCCTTTGTTTCCCAGTTTCTTTTTGGGGGGAGATAATTCCTAGCTCTACCAGGTACTCAAAGATCAATACACTGTGATCACTCATTCCCAAGGGGGCTTCCAACTTAACTTCCCTTATATCCGACTCATTTAGGGTAAATATCAGATCAAGCATAGCTGGTTCATCCTCTCCTCTCATTCTTGTCGGTCCCTTGATGTGTTGGCTTAGAAAGTTTCTTGTTGCCACGTCCAGCAGCTTAGCTCTCCATGTGTCTGGTCCTCCATGTGGGTCTCTGTTCTCCCAATCTATCTTCCCGTGGTTGAAGTCTCCCATGATTAGTAGTCTGGATCCGTTCCTGCTAGCTACAGAAGCTGCTCTCTCTATTATATTGATGGTGGCCATGTTGTTTCTATCATATTCCTGTCTGGGTCTTCTGTCGTTTGGTGGGGGGTTATATATGACTACTACTATAATTTTTTGTCCTCCAATTGCTATGGTACCTGTTATGTAGTCACTGAAATCTTCACAGCCCTGAATAACCATCTCTTCAAAACTCCAGCCTTTTCTTATCAGCAAAGCTACACCACCTCCTCCTCTTCCTTCTCTCTCTTTCCTCACTACATAGTAGTCCTGTGGAAACACTGCATTTGTTATGGTTTTCGTTAGCTTTGTTTCTGTGAGTGCTATTATGTCTGGGTTTTCTTCTAGTGCCCATTCTCCAAGTTCACTTGTTTTATTTGTAATCCCATCTATGTTAGTGTACATTGCCTTGAAGCTCACTTTCTTCTGTTCATTCTCTTGTCCCCTTCTTGGTGAGCGTTCTGCTGATGGAGGAAGCTGTTCAATAGGTGTGAAGATCTGTGAGGTGGTTAACAGGGTCTCAGAGGATTCTGGGGTGGGGGGTGGGGGTTCAAGGGAAGGGGGGACAGGTAGGGTATGGGGTAAGGAGGTAGGGGGGACATGGAGGATATGGGGTGAGGGAGGGGGGAGGAGGGGATAGGGAGGGTATGGGAGGGAAGGGGGAGGGGGGGAGGGGGGGGAATGAGGGGGAGGGAGGGGGGGGAGGGGGGGGACATGGTGGGAATGGGGGAGGGGTGACAGGGTCGGAATGGGGGGGGGGGAGGGAGGGTTGAGTGAGCATTTGAGTGGGGGCAGGTAGGGTGAGGGGTAGGGAGGGTTTCTATGCAGAGGAGGGTGGTGGTGTTGCCCTCCCCTCTGGTGTTGCTGGGATGCTGGTTGTGGGTTCCCCTCTTGTCTCTGGGAATGTTGTGTTGGGGGCTGTGATTTCCTGGTTTACTCCTCTCTCCCTGCGCTTCTTCCTTGCCTCTGTCGCCCTGGCTCTCTCCTCCTTCGTCCTGTCCCTCTGGAGGAATACTTTTTTGTATTCCTCCACATACTGCAGATGACTCTTCCTTTCTAGAATAACCTCCTTCGTGGTCTCGTTTGCAAACACTATCTTTACCAGGCGGTCTCTGTCCTTGTTGTACCAGCCCAACCTGAAAACCTTCTCAATGTTTTGTTCAGCCCCTTCCATCTTTAACCCCTTTAGTATTCCATTTACTGCCTCTCTGTCCTTGCTATTCCATTCTTGCCTATTGGAGCCTTCCTGTTCTTTGATGCCTACAGCTACCACTGATCTTTTTCTTTCCAGCAGCTGACTGGTGCACCTTGCTGCTTCCTGTGAGGTAGCTGCTTGCATGGCTACCTCCCTCACTGTGGCCATTGCTTCTGAGCTCTTTCTCAGTATTTCTGCAAATGTTTCAGGTACAGAGGCATTTCCTTCCAATGCACCATTTCCATCTTCCCTTTGGATGATTATCTGATGCTCAGCCTCATTATTTTTCTCTGTGAGGGATTTGATCTCCTCCTTTGCTGCTGTCAGCTCACTTTGCAGGTTGTTAATTGTATTCTTCATTTCATGCATCTCCTTCCTGAATTCCTCCCAAACTTGGGCTAACATTTCCTTCATTTGGTCACTTTGACTTTTCCCTGTGTCCCTGGTGCGTCCTCCTGCCATCTTTGTCCCTTTCCCTGATATGTTTTGATAGGGTTAGCCAGGGGGGGGGGGCAGAGAGAGGAGAGAGAGAGAGAGAGAGAGAGAGAGAGAGAGAGAGAGAGAGAGAGAGAGAGAGAGAGAGAGAGAGAGAGAGAGAGAGAGAGAGAGAGAGAGAGAGAGAGAGAGGAGAGAGAGAGAGAGAGAGAGAGAGAGAGAGAGAGAGAGAGAGAGAGAGAGAGAGAGAGAGAGAGAGAGAGAGAGAGAGAGAGAGAGAGAGAGAGAGAGAGAGAGAGAGAGAGAGAGTCTTCTGCTCTGCTTTTCGCATCTGGTCTTTCTGATGCTGGTCTATCACCATTTTGTATGATGAGTAGGTGGCTTCATTGATGGTGTCCCACCTGCGTGTCTCGTCTCAGTGGCAGTACAATATAAAGTTTCCTGGTGGTTCTTTCGTTATTTCTTGTCCCTTCATAGGTTTTCTTGCTTTGGATTGGATTGTCTTGTCCTTCCTGTCTTGGTTGTTTCAGTATTCATCTTATGCTGAATGCCTCGTATTGTGCGGTGCTTGCAGAACCGCTTCAGCTTGCGTTCGGGGTGGATGTTACTTCTGCTCGGTTCTGCAAGTTGTCTCATGTGTTGTTTCACCTCCAGCCTACTCATGCGCCGCCCGAGTCATCCTGGTCTTTGAGTCGGGTGCTCTCTCTCTTCTATCTTCTCAGTTTGTTGCAGGCCCTTCAGTTCAAGATTGTTTTGCGAAGGCTCTTTTTCCTGTTGCATTGGCCTCTAGGGGTCGAGTTAGGGAGCTTCATGCTCCTCTCTGGCGCAGAGGTTTCTGCTCTTTTGGTCCTGGTGGTAAGTTCGTTCATTTGCAGCTGTCAACTTCTTTTCTGGCGAAGAATAAGACTGCTGCTTTCCAGAGGGGTCCTTGGTTGTTGATGCTTGGTTGGTTTGGCTGAAGGTGCATCATGCATCATGTCCGGTTGCGACTCTTCGCCATTACCTGCATGCCATGGCCTCGGAGGCCGGGGACATGCTGTGGGTTGACCCACTTTTCCCTGTTCCATGATTCAGGTCTCCCAGGTCATCCGCAGGGTTATTCGGTCCTGCCAGCCTGCGGTTTATCCTCGTGCCCATGACGCTCGTAAGTTTACTGCACTCGCTGCCGTCTTCGGTAACATGTCATGGGATGACATTTGGGCTCGGGGTTTTTAGAGGTTGAACAGGGTCCTAGCCGCTCACTACCTAGTCAGTGTTCCTGGCCGCACTTGGGCGTGTGTCGCATTGGGTCGACGGTTGCAGCCAGCTGTCTCGACTTTGAATTGAGGAGTGAGTGGCGACCACCTCCTGGTTAAATCCCTCTTGTTTTCTCTTTGGTTAAGTAGCTCCAGAGAGCCAAAGGGGCTCCCACCCCCTCCATCCCAGAAAACCAGCGTTGAATGTAATGAAACGCCATTTTCTGGGTGAGACCCAGAGGCTCCCTGGCAACTCTCCCGCCTTCTGGTCAGCGGTTTTCGCGTGTTTTGACATCCAGCGTCAGAACTAGAAGTTTGGGTAACCGGTGCGGGGGTCTGGGGCTCCCCTTTCTCCCTCCCGGTGAGAGGGGAGCTGTGCAGACGGCGGTGCGGTGCCGGTTGTGATGTCATGCTCGTTTTTCGTTCGGGGAGTTCTGTCCAACAGTTTGGCTTTTTGTAGCAATTTTGTTTAACCAAATAGGGTTTGTTTTGGGGCACCTACCTGTCTGGGTGCCTGACCCGGTCAATAACAGACATAGAATGCTTCCAACCACACATGGTCGCCTTTCTGAGGGGGGCCATGTTCTGGCTTGTGGTCCCTGATTGGCCTTGAACTTCGTTCGCTTTGACTGATGCCAGGGTTTAATACATTCATATCAGCCCGAATAGCTCTGGGGAGCCTCTGGGTCTGACACAGAAAATGGCGTTTCAATACATTCAACACTGGGTTTTTTCAGGGAGGTCTGTTATGTGTGGACATATTGGATTTTTCCTGTTCTGTACTTGTTGCCTGTTGTAGCTCTGTTGTCAGATATAGTGGTTGCTGTGACTGGGAGTGAATGTGGTTAGCTCTGCCAATTCAAGTATTATGCATTACTGGTTCTGCCTTTTGAAGCCTCTTTCTTCTGGGTCTGAAAAATTATTTGACTTTTCTCCAAAACCATTTTCCTGTTTGCCACTTCTATCATTTTTAGTTTTACTTGATCATGTGGTTAATCTTGGATCCTCCATGCCTCTTTGAACACACCAGATTCTCCTCCTGGATTTCAGTAGGGTTCCACAAGTTCAGAGGCCTGGTTTTGTGGATGTCTAGTACTAGAGCCACTGACACCACCCAGAAAGGGGTACAATATTTCATTTCATTTGAGGTGCTCTTTAGGTAAATCTACCTGTCTCAACCTACATTTACAGGTGCCAAGCAGTAGCACCTGTAAATTTATGCTACATTTTTCTAATTCACCAAAATTTGTTCTATACTGTAATGTCAAGAATGATTACTTTTATTTTAATTGTCAAAGTTGCACGTTAAGTACCTGTTGAAGAAATGCTGTATTGAAAGTAGTTTTTTCTTGACTTCATATTCCTTATCATATCCTTGTTGAGTGTCTTCCCATACTATCCATATTCCTTATCATATCCTTGTTGAGTGTCTTCCCATACTATCCATATTCATATTCCTTATCATATCCTTGTTGACTGTCTTCCCATACTATCCATATTCCTTATCATATCCTTGTTGAGTGTCTTCCCATACTATCCATATTCATATTCCTTATCATATCCTTGTTGACTGTCTTCCCATACTATCCATATTCATATTCCTTATCATATCCTTGTTGAGTGTCTTCCCATACTATCCATATTCCTTATCATATCCTTGTTGAGTGTCTTCCCATACTATCCATATCCATATTCCTTATCATATCCTTGTTGACTGTCTTCCCATACTATCCATCATCTTGTCTTGACATTTCATTTTCATTTATAGGTAATGGAGCCTGTGTTCTCATAAGAGCACTGGAACCCTTGGAAGGATTTAAAAAAATGGAAGCTGGCCGGAACCAGAGGCGTAAAAATTCATCATCTCTTAAAATTCGTGAGCTTTGTAATGGCCCATCAAAGACCTGCCAAGCATTATATCTTACCAAGGTATAAGAATCTACAGTAAACGTCATTATTATGTATACTGGTACAATATTTCCATCCAAATTGTAAAAGGTTTAGCATAATCTTCACATTTAACAATAGCATACTTTACATCATTGTTTTGAGCTAGTGTCTCCATATGATTGAAGAGCACATGAGAGTGCAACAGGAAGAATAACATGGTATTCTTTACTGCCCACAATCATTGCAAATTAGTCTTCTTACTTTATTTGAACATTAAAATAATGTATGTATTGTAATAATTTTGCACCAACTCCTCTGCCCAAGTGTGTCAAGTATCATATGGTGTTGCTGCACGTTACTCTCTCGTGTCTTACAAACAACACACTTACTAAAAACGTTAAAATTTCCATTATGGTCATTTTATTACCTGCTGCCTGCTTGTGTAATCTACATATGGTAAGGAACAAGGCTATGAGAGTGTGTTTTATAAAGGAGGCTTAAATGTATTTGTGTTTTACACCTGGTTTATGAAGCAAGCAGAGAGGGGCGGCTGTAAGGAAAAACATTTCAATTACTGTACAGTAATTTAACTAGGGAACACATGCAAAATACAAAAATGACACTCAAATACAAAAGGGATTTAAAGTGAACTACATACGACTGTTTTGAATTGTGGGATTCAAACAAACCGGCTATATTCGTGCATTAACATACATTTGTTTAAATGGGAAAGATACAACATGTAAAACTTATCACTTGACACTTACTGTACAGCACTCGATGACAATGTGGTAAACACCTCGCTTTGGAGGTGGATGCCTCCTTTGACCAGAACCAAAAGTCTCCTCCTTTGTGGACAAAGTGGAGTGCAGTTATGCTATGCAAAAGTGCAGGAAAACTACTCTATTAAATATGAACATTCTCTCATGCACAACTTAAAATACTTGCAAACAGTAGCAATCAAAAAATAAATTAACATTAATTTTAATGAAATAGAAAACATAAGCATTAGTCACAACAGCCAGTCAGTAAATATATGCATTAGTCACTACAGTTATTCACTCGGTCTCTAAAATACACCTTGAGTAAAGCAATTTTGAAATTAATAAAAATAAAAGCTACATATTGCATATTGGACATTATGCTTTAACCCTTAAACCGCGCATACTGGAGGCCTGCAAGCGAAAAATATTTGAATTATGTAAAAATAACTTAAAATGTTAAGCAAATCTCCAACTTATTGGCTTCAGTGTCGTGAAACTTTCATAAAAATATTTTCAGAAATTGATTTTGGATGAATTTTTTAAAAATAAGAATGTTTTGTTAAGAAGAACAGCTCCTAATAACTGGAACTGAAGGATTATGCAGTAATAAAGAGATGCAAGCAGCTGTCCGACGCACAAAGAAGAATAGTAGTAAGAAGTGTCCACAAAGTGGATATACAGTTGGTGCATTTATAGCATTGCTGAGTAATACATAATAACACAAATAATAATGAGTAACTATGTTATTATGCTCTCTTTTGCTATACTGTATATCATATAACACATTGTCCAATGTTAATATGTTACTTTCATCAATGACCCCCCCCCCTGCAATTTTTTTTCTCTCCTTTGTGTATTATCTGATTTTGTTGTAACCTTTACATCCTGGAGGGTGCATATGCTCCCTAACTATGTGAAGATAGAATGAAATTGGTCAACAAATAAGTCGGTCACAACTCCCAAAACTTGGGACTTTTAATTTTTGGGGGCTGATTTTTTCTCTAATCTTTATTTTCTTTGTTTCTTTAGGTTGTTTTGATGATTAGGGACCATATTAGGGTTTTTTCACTTACATAAAGTGTACCCTAAATATATTCCCTAAATCATTATAATCATTATAATTATCCCTATATTTTGTGTTTCTTGGGGTTATTTTTTCTTGACTTCATTTCAACACATATTGACCTACAACTTTCACATATTTGAGAACGAATGCCAAACAATGTTAATTAAAACATACAATTAAATGAACGAATTAAAACTACCTTTATTCATTGCTGATAACTTCAACTATCTCTGAAACTAGAGTTTCAACTCTAGAGTGGCTTCTAAAGTTAGAGTGGCTAGAGTTAAAGGTTAGAGTGGTAGAGTAAAGTTGGAGTGGCTAAAGTTAGTTAGAGTGGCTTCTAAAATTCCAGTTTCTGGGGGGAGCCCCGTCGGCTCCCCGGAGCTATCCAGGCTGAATGGATATGTATAACTTTCTGGCATCAGTCAAAATGCTAGGAGTTCTTGCCTACCGGGGACCACGAGCCAGAACCTGGCCCCCTCAGAGAGGCACGAGGAGCAATGGCCTATAGAAACCCCCTTGTGATTGGGAGCATTTTATGTCTGCCATCGACCGGGACAGGCACCCAGAAAGGTAGGCACCCCAAAACAAACCCACTATTCTGGTGAAATTATTGCTACCGAAAGCCGAACGAGTGGACAGAACTCCCCAAACAAAATTATCTAACTAGCATGACGTCATCATGTCGCCGCGCCACCGTCTGCGCAACCCCCCCCCCCCCTCGCGGAGAGGGGGAAGGGGGAGCCCCAGACCCTCCACGCCGGTGATCCAACTGGCAGTTCTTAGGCTGGATGTCAAAAGACGCGAAAACGCCGCCGACTGGAGGGAGGGAGGGATGCCGGGGAGCCTTCGGGACTCACCCAGAAAATGGCGTTTCATTACATTCAACGCTGGTTTTCTGGGGGGAGCCCCGTCGGCTCCCCGGAGCTACCTTACCAAAAGATAAGTAAAACAGGGAAAAAACCGGGAGGCGGATACCACACGTCCTAACTGAACAACCAAAACCAGAAACAAAAAAAGACCAAAACGAGAAGAAAAAGACCACCCAGGCCAACGACCAGAATGGCTCCAAAACTCAAGAGCAGGCCAGAGGGGAACAATGCCCAAGACAGCAAGTGGAATGGAGCAGAAGGAACCGCAACACTGAACGTAAGCAGGAGCGGCTCTGCCAGCACCACCCAACATGAGGGGACAGGACAATCCCAGACAACGGTCCCAGAACAACCCAGAAGGGAAGACAAACCAACCCTAGCAAAGACCGAAGGACCCTTCGCAGCGATAGGAAAACCAAACACCGCCCCCGAGACGAAACGTGCAGGTGGGAGACCAATAACGAACCCACCTGTGCCGACACAAACGACAAGAAACGAACACCACGATCGAAAGCGCAAAACGCGAATCTAAAAACAGCGACCGCGCAACCCAAAGGAGCAACAGAACCAGCTCCAGCAGGGAAGAATGATACTCGCATCCCCGAGGCATCCAAGAGGAGAACCACCGAGGATGAGAACCGCAGGAAAACAAACACACCCGGTTGAAGAACTCTGTAGGGTAAGGCAGGTCCTAGTCAACAACGGCTTCTCCAATGGTTTTGTTGAAGACATCATAAGAAGGAAGGTGAAACGCCATGCAACCTCTGAAGAGACAACTAACACAACACCTGTACCTCCTATTAGACTATTTTACAGGAACTTCTTTTCCACAGCTCATAAAATGGAGGAAAGGGTCCTGAAAGATATTGTTGATAGGAACATTATCCCTACAGACAAAAATCAGAAGATACAATTGGGGATTTACTATAACACCAAAAAAATGGCCAACCTACTCATGAGAAACTCTCCAGACACAAAGCAGAACGCTTTAAAAGAGACCAACATTGTCTATGCCTTCAAATGCCCACTTGGGGACTGTAAGCCTCAAAGAACTCATTTGCGCTTAATCCTCTTTGACCATTCTAAGCTAAGCTATACCTGTTTTTGGTTATTTACACCTGACCAACCCTAGGGATGGGTTGGTCAGGTGTCGGCCTATATATCCTCCCCCTTCTCCCTTCTCCTTAGTCAGTCTGGTATTGACAAAGGCTTTAACAAGCCGAAACGTTCACCTCATTTCATATTTCTCTGTGGATTTTCCGCATATATATATATATATATATATATATATATATATGCATGCTCTATTTACAAGCATTTCCAATAACGAGCGAGCCATTCGCAGCAAATTTGTCTCTATTGACGAGCTTCACCTCTATTAACGAGCAAAACCACATGGTGCTTCTTAGCGTCTTGCTGGTTCTCGCAAATTCTCGGACGCCTCCGACGCCAATGTTGTTGTTGTATCATGCACGACAAGCATCCCTCTGCATTTATTTGTGCTTTTCTTTGTTTTGTTTTTTTGTGGTTTTGTGACTACAATTTGTAATGCACGATGTCACCAAAGAAGCTGCTTGCTAAAGATAGTGTTGTCAAGAGGAAGAAAGGTTGGGTTGTTGATACTTTGCTGGTTCGACAAGGGGTGCATCATGTATCATGTCCGGTTGCGACTCTTCGCTGTTACCTGCACACCATGGTCTTGGTGGCCGGGGACGCACTTTGGGTTGTGCGGTTTCCCTTCTTCCATGTTCCAGGGCTCGGGTCTCCCAGGGTGTCTGCCGGATTATTTGGTCCAGCCAGCCTGCAATCTATCCTCGTGCCCATGACGTTTGTAAGTTTGCTGCATTGGCTGCCGTCTTTGGTAATATGTCTTGGGCTGACATTCAGACACAAGATTTTTAGAGGTTGAACAGGGTCGGAGGCCTGGTCGACGACCGGGCCGCGGGGACACTAAGCCCCGGAAGCACCTCAAGGTAGCAAGGTAGGGTTCTGGCTGCTCACTACCTAGTCAGTGTTCCTGGCCCTAGTCAGGCGTGTGTCACATTTGGGTCGGCGGTTGCGGCCAGTTGTCTCAACTTCGAGTTGAGGAGCATGTGGCGACCGCCTCCTAGGTAAGTCCCTCTTGATTTATCTTTGGTTAAGTACAGTAGCTCCAGAGAGCCAAAGGGCCTTCCCCCAGAAAACCAGCGTTGAATGTAATGAAACACCATTTTCTGGACGAGACCCGTTGGCTCCCTGGCTCCCTCCCTCCTTCCAGTCGGCATTTTTTTCACGTGTTTTGACATCCAGCCTCAGAACTGAAGGTGTGGATAGCCAGCACAGGGGTCAGGGGCTCCCCCTTCCCCCTACTGGGGAATGAGGAGCTGCGCAGACAGCGGTGCGGTGATGGTTGTGATGTCATGCTCGTTTGCTCATTTTTTGTTTGGGGGGAGTTCTGTCCAACAGTTCGGCTCTCAGTAGCAATATTTCCACCAGATAGGGTTCGTTTTGGGGTGCCTACCTTTCTGAGTACTTGATCCAGTCAATGGGAGACATAAACCTTCCAACCACATGGGGATTCCTATAGACCATTGCTCCTCATGCCTCAAAGGGGGGCCAGATTCTGGCTCTTAGTCCCCAGTAGGCCTAAAAACTCCATTCGCTTGACTGATGCCAGGGGGCTAATACATTCATATCAGCCTGGATAGCTCCAGGGAGCCTCTGGGGCTCATCCAGAAAAAGACGTTTCATTACATTCAACGCTGGTTTTTTGGTAGGTAAAATAAAAAATTCTTCTAAATATAAATTTTAAGCAACTGCAAGTGCAGCACTATTTGCTAACCAATTTTTTCTTAACAGGATACAAGCAATAAGGTGGACCTTACTACATCAGAGACCTTCTGGTTAGAACATGGCAGGTTCATTTCCGAGGACCAAATAATAGTCACCAAGAGGGTTGGTATCGATTCTTGCGGTGAAGAATGGGCTAAGAAGCCACTTCGATTTTATGTGTACAACAACAAATTTGTAAGTGTAAGAGATAAAGAAGCTGAGAACAATTTAAAAGGCAGTTAGAATTTTTATTTACATGTACAATATATATAGTATATGGAGAATGTACATAATGCAATCAGCCATTCACAAACTTTTATGGTTAGAACACTACTGCGTGGATAATAATAAAGTACACGTGAACCTGTGTATACAGGTACAGTACCGGTATACTGATTTTTATGGTGCATCAGGTTAATTGAACTTTTGTTAAAAGCCACTCATAATTATAGCTTATGAGACATTTTATTCAAGTATCCATAAAATTCACTTATTTTGTCCTATGTTTCTGATGTGTTCAATACCAGGCAGAAGATGGAACTAGCCTATATAAATTGTATAAATGTATGTTGTGTATACTGGAATAGTAAGCAGTGATGGAGTGATCTGTTAAGCAGACCAGTGAATGCATGCACAGGAGGAGCATTTAGAACAGCATTCAGTCAATAATGTGAAAGTATGAATGAAAAGGGTCATTGAAATGAACTACATGGTATAGATTTTTTCTGGCTCCTGTAGATATGTTATCAAATGAATCGCAGAATAAAAGTACGTAAAATAGAGGTTGGAATTTGTTAAATATTTCCAAAATATGTATGAAGAAACCTAGCTGTTACAGAAGAAGCAATGAAGTGAGTTCTTGATCAAGCTGTAAAATATCAAAAGTTCTGCATGGACAACAACTTTTTGCATAATTTATGTATTTACTTTGGTGTCATAAAATTTCATCAAAATTTATCATTGATGAAAGACTAGTACAGTATTAATTTTGGCTATTTTTTTCGACATGACTTGTGCATTGTTTGTTGAAAAGCAACATAAAATACACCTCGGCATTTATTTCTACATAATAGCCAGTTAAAAATATTGGTCATAAATGCAATGCAAAGTCAAGCGAGGAATTTCACCTCACATTCTGTACTAGGAATAAACAAACACTTGAACATGGGGAAGCAATGTTGGGTTGGTGATGCAAGATTACACACTATGATATATATATATATATGGGATGCATAAAACAATTAGGAAGTTGTCAGAAATATGGATGAAACTATCCTTTTAGCGTATTGATTTACAGTAGCTGTGAAACGAGTAACATACATGGAAAACTTTCTACTTAGTATGTACAGTACAGTACAGGATATTTACTGAATTATTCAGTGTTATTTAAATCATTCCACATTGTTAATATTGACATTAAATTGTCTGTGAATAATACAGGCTATTTCAATTTGCTATTATCATTAGTTGCACCATAACCAGCAAATTGTGTGATTTCTTATCGTACTATTTAATACAAAGTGTAATCACTGTACAAATTAAGAATTTAATAAAATGAATTGCTAACCAGGCCAATGCCAGCTCTAATGCCACCTGATGTCATTACCTTATCAAATACAGAAGAGAGAGGACACCAAATCCTGGCCTCTTGTTCCCACCGACGCTCGGCTGCTAAAATTACTGACGAAAGGATACACCCAATTTGGGCTCGTATTTATGCCAGCATTATTACCCTTGATGCAGGAAGGCTTTGTTCCTGGGTGTTGAGATGCTGCAAGGTTGGTGCAGCATCTCAAATGACATTGATGCAACCTCACCGCTCCCTCAACCTGACAACTTGTTTCTATCAAATTACAGGTACTGCTGTCTTAAACAAAGACTGTTGTCTAATTTACAAGTGTGTAAAGGCTGAAATTAACCTCATTGAAACATCTTTGAAGGATTAAGTAGCCCCAACCTATAACTGACATTGCTAAAAGTTTAGCTAGAGTACTAGCCTTGTTATTTATATCAGGTAGTTGATGGATCCATACAATCCTTATTTTTACAACTTGACTTGTAGGCCAGTTATAACACAAACAGTTCTGGGCAAATGCTGTTGTACTGTTAGTTCGATCAGAGTTCACACAGACTGACACATCCTTTGATAACTGAATAAAAACTAAGACCTATGGATATATCCTGCTAAAATATAATTTATATAATCAATAAATTGTGGAACCTTAATGAAGAAGAAAATCCAGTCTTCAGTAAAATCAGACTTACCAACAATATAACATATTTAGAATTAACCTTCATCATTGGTATGCTGACACCTGAGAGGACTATCTTGGTTTCTAGATTGAGCCATCTACAACATCGAGTTAGGATTAAAAGGTACTATTCTTAAATGTGATTAGTGTAAGAATTTATGTTGTGGAAAATTTTACCCAAGTCAGTCTCCATAAAGGAATGGTAAGGTAATTATCAGGAGAAAGTACTGTCATTACGACTATATAGCACATGGAAGGGATGTGAGGATAAGGTTTTAGGATAGGACGAAGGAAAGGAATGGTGCCCAACTACTTGCACGGTCGGGCTTGTATGCCACCATGCAACCCGTTCTCGCAAATTCGTGTAGTCAATATTGACTTATTAAATAAGTGCATAGGTGACATACTAAACATAATAGATACCCTTAAAAAGCTTCATAGAAAACACCGACCTTACCTAACCTTGTTAGTATGTTAAGATAAGCATCTTATTGTTTCGTAATTACAATTATTACTTAACCTCTACCTATAATAGGTTAAGTAACAATTGTAATTACGAAGCTATAAGATGTTAGTATCTTAAGATACTAACAAGGTTAGGTAAGGTCGGTGTTTTCTATGAAGCTTTTTAAGGGTATCTATTATGTTTAGTATGTCACCTATGCACTTATTTAATAAGTCAATATTGACTTTACGAATTTGCGAGAACGGGTTGCACCATGCAAGAAGTGAAACATCCACTACAAGTGGTTGGGATCCATAATTGAAAGTAGCATGGTAGATTCGAGGAATGTTTATTATAGTACATTTATTTATTTTACATATCTATAAATACATAATCATTCCATTTAATGGGGTGTAAGGGAACATGTTGGAGTACATAATACCCTATCCACCCATTCATTTTATTCACATAACAGCATATCATCATCAGTACAGTACTTTTATATCTTTACACGTATTCTCTTATAGTGCTTCATGTGAATTGTCATATACAATAAATACTTTCACACTTACAAACTAGCCCAGCCTGTCCCTTGTCACATGCAAGACATTGGTCATACTCGTGCCTATCCACCTTCCTCTACTCAAAGTCATTCTTAATACACTGCACTATACATTCATTCAACATGCCTAAGCAATCTATGTACATTCTCTAAAGTCTTGCACTTTGAATTTTGTATTTACTTTGCATTTACTATTTTGTACTTGACATCTGACATTTCCATTCCCATTTTTTCTACCACACATTTATATAATTACAGGTATCAGTTTCTACTGATCCGGCTAATTTTCATGATCATAACACCATTTTACAACCACATAGGAAGGTCAACACAAACTCCTTCATGCAACCCTCTGGCTGCATTTATTGAACTTTTTGTTTCTAATCTAAACTTCTGTTTGTCACTTTCCTTCCTTGACTCAACTTCAAATGCACAATCCACTATCACAGATCCAAGGTATTTTACATAAGCTGTTCAGCTACTACTAGCATTTCACCATTTAACTTTATTTCATCACCATTCCTCTCACCAATACTTTTAACTTAAATATGTACAAAATAATCAAGTAAAATAAAACTAAATGCAACTAATGTACTCACATCTTCCTCTAGAAGTGAATCATCTGCACACATCAGGTTTGACCTGATCCAATATTTTATATGTGGCCTTATACACTAAACCAACATGCTGTTAACATTCTTGGATAGCATTATGAAGGAGCTCAAGGTATGTATTACATAACCAGGGGTAACATCATACAACCCTCACATACCCATACATCAATAAAGAAGCATTCACTCACTACAGACATGTATTTCTCGACAGGAGGAAACAGAACTCTTCAAACTCCGTACATATCATCACAACTGGGAAGGTCTCCGTGAACTTTGTCATTAGCTTTTCCCTTCATGCATTTATGGACTTAGAAATATAATCAGGTCTCAGAAGTTCAAATCTATATTATGACTAGTACAGTATATCACTAAATGCACCAAAAGGAAAATTGTTTATAACAATTTATTTTTTGGAAAATCAACCCATGTAGAAACAATCTGATTCTGAAAAATCCACTTTTTTACTAAACTAACTCCATATGCAAGCACTACCATGACAGATAAATACTGTACCCAAGCCCATTTCATGATAAACCAAATACCCGGAATGTAAGAAAACTTTTGTTCTGGATAATTAATACTAAGATCTATGGTAAAAGAATCACTTTCTCCAGTTTGGACACTTGTGTAACTGTTGCCGAAGTGTGTAGTCACTGAAAAAAAAAAACACGTATTACATAAAGAGCAAAGTACAGTACATTTTATAATCTATTTTTAGTGGCCTGACTTTCAAATGGCTGAACCCAATTTTCTAATGTTGGCATGGTGACTATTTCCCTATTGTATAATAAAATACTTTAAATCTTAAAGGGTCCCTACACTTGCACCAGTGGTGGTACCCCTTCTAGGTTTAAATCTTATATATTTCACAATTCATTGTCTTTTGTCACTTCAGTATTATGGCTTTTTCTCCTTATGTCACACATGTAGTGGTCTAAATTTTACTTTCATTTGATTCTTCCATACTTAAAATATTAAACTGTACATTCTGCTACTCTTTGGTATCACTTTGGTGATCACTACATATATGGTTCAAGTATATAATGGACCAGTGTCTCAAGTAAGTAATTATCAAAAGAAGGCACAAAGCCAGGAAGGCTACGTAGCACCATCAAATGTGCAGAATAATCATAGGGCACTTAATATCATTTAGGATGCCAATATGAGAACAGAAAAGCATAAGGCAAAAGATATCAAAAGTATCCCGATTCACGATTCATTCGAGGAACAAGTGACCGCGAGGGATGGTCGGGAAGCTAGACACACGTTCGTTCTGGAAGTCAGGACATTCAACAAGGATATGCACAACTGTAAGAGGGACAATGCAGTTTGGACAATAAGGAGCAGGGCGGTGCTCCATTATGTGCCTGTGGCCAATACGCAACTTTGCCAGAACCATTTCCCAACGCCAATTACGGTGGTACGAGGAAGGCCATGGGGATAGTCATCCCGTCCTCACCTCACACTAGGCTGTTTAAAGCAGCAGCCATCCTCCCCAGATGCATTCATAAATTTTTACATACTGTGTTTTAAAAATCAATTTCTCATATCTAAATTAATATTATTATACATAAAAATTATGTATAGTTAGATGTTTAGGTTGTGTTGGCGATTATTTGTATTTGAAGTACGTGGGTGAAGCATTTATAAAATTGTGGTTCGAACAGAGGACGTGAGCTTGTCAGCATTGCCACCACCTATGTAATGGGATATTGCATCATGTTTACAGAGAACGTGAGCGAAGCACTTGTTCCGGAAGTGTTCAGATATCAGTTGTGAGTCTTGTGTAAACAGATTTTCATTCATAAATGGGGTTTGGCAGCTGGATTAACGAGCTTGGATGCTTGTATGCAAGGACGGGCTGAAATAGTAGCAGAGAAGACCCTCTAAATTATAGACCTGTATTGCTGATAAGCACTAGAAAAAATAATTAAAACAAAATGGGTAAAATACGTGGAAAGAAATAACAGTCAGTCAGTATGGTTTCAGAACAGGAAGATCCTATGTAACAATACTCAGTTTCTATGACAGAGCCACAGACATCTTATAAAAAAGACATGGTTGGGTTGACTGTTTTTACCTGGAAAAAAAAAACTTTTGATAGTTCCACACAAAAGGTTCTGGAAACTGAAACATGTTACAAGGGTGACAGGTGGACTGATGACATGGACGAACATTTTTCTCACAAAAAATAAGGGTGGTAATCAGAGGCAATGTGTCATACTGGAAACATTTTACTAGCAGAGTACCACAAGGTTCAGTTCTAGCACCATGTTTATTGTCTATGTAAGGAAATACAAAATTATATAAACATGTTTGCTACTGATGCTAAGTTAGGGAAAATAAGAAAGAACTTTCTACACTTGGCAGATAGAATTCAATGGACACAGGTGCCATGTTATGGAATGTAGAATAGGAGAAATAGCCTCCAAACAACCTACAACACATGCGTAGTCATTAATAAACTTGGACTGTGGAAGAGATCTAGGAGAGGTACTGGATAGTAAACTATTATGTGAGGACCACATAAAGGACATTGTGTGAGGAGCCTATGCTACACTTTCCAACTTCAGAATCACTTTAAATCCGTGGATGGTGAAATATTGGCGAAACTGTTCATGACTTGTGAGACCAAAACTGGAATATGAAGCATTTGTAGTAACAGGAATCGAGAAAACTGACAAAGAAGGATTCTTGAAACCTGTAATTTTAAAAACAAGAGGTCATTGAGGCAAGTTAACCCTTAAATTGCACATCGCATCATATGATGCTTTAACCGACTTGCAGTAAATTGCGCATCGCATCATGTGATGCTTTGGAGTACTACGCAAGATTTATACGGCCCGCGGATACACGGGGTTCACCACACCATCAGGGCTCTTGTAAACCAGGCAATGTGATGTAGTCATTGCGCGAATTCACCTTGGCTATAGACACATCTGGCAGGTTAGTGAGGCTGAGCCACTACCAGAATACTCAGATTGTAAACTCTGTGATAAACCTGTAATGCATTCACTAGAACACTATATTGATGAATGTGAAACCGTAAAGGATTTTAGACCTGGCCTCTTGTACCACCAACTGTGTAACTATTTTATTGACTCAGGTGTTCTGGACGACATCCTAACAATTTATCCAAAATTTGCTTGTCCATTTTAAAGAATGAAGAATAATTTTTATTTATATTACTTCTAAGCTGCATCACTTATGAACCCATCCCTGCCCTTGTGTGGCAGTGCACAGTAGAAAGTTGTTTTCACATATCCATACATTAAAACACTGATTGTAACCATGATATATATGTGCTTCAGCCTACAGTTTAGACCTATTGTCTTATGTATGACCTTCTGTCCTGCGTGACAGTGAATACCAGCATTTTCCTCACTTTAATAAGACTATCAAAATCCTCAGATTAGGCAAAATTGTAATTAATTTTGTCAATAAAGATGTTAATACTAATAATGTAAACAGACGCCATTTTTTTTTTAAATTGTGGGCCAAATTCCCGGGTGTTAGGGGGCCTCAGTATTGAGTGAGCTACCAAGCCTGATGCACGCAGCATGAACTCACAGCACTGCTGTTCAGCTTGTGACCACATCATCGCCTAAAAATGCCATAATATACTTGTTCATGCTATTATGTAGTGATGATATTATTACAGAAGACCCCTGACTGTGATAAAACTGACCAGGGTTCTGATAATAGCAGGATTGTGGTGATATTTAACGCTGTGCTCCATGGAGGGAGGAGTAATGCTGTGGGAGGGAGGGTGGTGGCAGTCTTCTGACTGTGTGGGATCACCTTTTATTGACTGCACTCACCATACCAGCTTAGTGGTTCGCTATGGTGAACACAAATGTAGATACTTATATATATAACGTGTGTAAAGAGGGTATAAACAGCAAGAGGAGTAGGTTGGGAGCCGCCATTTTGGTGAGGGCGGTGGCGTCGTCTGCACGATTTATCATGTTGTTTACTGGTGACCACGATGGTCTTTGGGCACCATACCAGTTTACTTGTACAAGTATGGTGAATAAAACAGGTAGATACTTATATATAATGTGTGTATATAGTGTCATAACACCACAAACAGTATTGTTGGAGGAGAAATATTAGTGCGTCTGGCCTTGAGGGCGGCAGCCAGCTGACTGTGTGAGGTCCTACGTCTTTGTGCCTTTACTCACCATACAAGCTTAGATGTACAGTTATGGTGAACAAAACATGTAAATACTTATATATAACGTCTGAATATAAAAGCAAAAACAGATATAAAAGCAAAAACAGTATGGTGGGTGGAGAATGGTGGCAAGTCAGGTGAGGTGAGGGAGGGAGGGAGTGGCAGCCAGTGGTGGGCTGCCACTGGCTGCCACTGCCACTCAGCATACCAACTTAGTGGTTCGTTATGGTGAACACGAATGTAGATACTTATACATAACGTCTGTATATAGTGAATAAAAGCAAAAACAGTATTGTGGGGGGAGAATGTGGGTGAGTGAGGTGTTGAGGGAGGGAGTGAGTGGCTCGCTGGTACACGGCGGTCACTCCTCGTTGCTTTTTGACTCATAATAGCAACTTAGTGGTTCGTTATGGTGAACAAAACATGCAGATACTTATATATAACCTGTGTATATAGTGTAATAAGCGACAAAGTATTTGTTCACTGTTTGATGAACATAATTGAATCAACAATATGCACACCATATTTTTGAGTACAGCGATGATTCACTCATTTTATTATATAAATATATCACACTACACACTATTGAATAATATTACAGCAAAAAAAAACTACGAAAAATCAATCAGAGACATTGAAATAATTAGGTAATTATCTCTTTGTGGCAACTCCGGCCCGACAGCTGGCAAGCAACAGACGCACGCTGAGTCAGCGCCTGTTTTTTGCCAGACTTCCCCGCCCTATAGCGGGCAATATATGCCACTTACGATTTTTTTATTATTTGTCCCATGATCAGTGAACACAAATTAACAGGTTAGGAAGAATTTTTTTTTTTTTTTGTATGCGCCTGTGGGTGTCAAATTGTATATAGCCATGCGCCATTTAAGGGTTAAAGAAACAAAGGATGCCGACAAAAATTATTAAGTATTTTGGGTGGAGAAAAAATAACCACCTGCAACAGCTTCACTCCACCTAAGAAACATCAGATGAGCAACTTCAGGATCAGAAGCCTGAAGATGGTGGAGTGAAGAAAAAATGCTCAACTGTTGATCTTCAATCAACATAGACAGGGTAAGTACACCTATTTGTAATTTTTTATCATCTATAAGAAGTTATATTATATACGTTTTGTAGAGAATTTATTTGCGATTTTTTTGGTACCAGAATGAATATTATATCACATAAACTTCTATGAGTAAAAAAAAAAAAAACACAAAGTATGTTTGGAGGTGTGGCGGGTGTGGCTCTGGGTGTGGCGAGCGTGTGGCAGTGGGTTCCCTTTAGCCGTTGATATATCCAACACGTGGGAAATATTTGTATGTGTTATGTATATGTCTGTGTAGGGAATTTTACTGCGATCACTGTCATACAAATTATAAAATGTTTCAACAAGTATAAACATGATAAACATCAAACGAACGAAAACAATGTGTTCGTTTCTGCCGCGAACGCATAATGAGCGACGTGGTTCTATAT